TTTTATTTTATATCTGAAATTATCTGTTTTGTCTTAGAATTTTTTACGACCTTTTCGTGAGCATCATATTGATCCTACCTCCATTACAAGGCATGATTTTATAGAAACAAATGGAGACAATTTCATGTTAACTATTCCTTGCCTTGGAAGAATGTTCTGGGATTTTTTAACAAAGTCTAATGAGGAAGTACAAAACAATTTCTCATGGACATGCTACCTTTTTCTTTTAGCAATATTTGTTTCCATGACCAACCAGGTAAATTGTAGAACTTACTCGTTAAAATCTTTTATATGAATTTGCAGACCATACACCTTCTTAATAAGTGAATTTTAATTTTTCCAGATACATAAATGGTCCCACACCTATTTTGGACTACCAAGGTGGGTTGTGTGGTTACAAGACCACCATATAATTTTGCCTCGACTACATCATCGCATTCACCATGTTGCCCCACACGAGACTTACTTCTGCATCACAACAGGATGGTTAAACTGGCCGCTAGAAAAGATTCAATTTTGGCCATTCTTAGAATGGGTAATTACTTATTTGACTGGGTACAAGCCAAGAACTGATGACTTCAAATGGGCACAAAAGAGAGCATAAATTCTCATATTAAAATGTGGCCCCTTAATTATTACAAATTACCAATTGCAAAACCTGGGTGTTTAATGCACAAATGACATGTCTTCAATAAGTAAGAAACTAGGATATGAATGTACATTTGCAGTTTATTTTTCAGTATTGTACTTTTATCTACCTGCCATTTTGCATCCATGTTTGAGGGATTATTTTCTCTCATTGTACTTTAATCATCTGTCTGTGTCAGCCAAAGAAAGACAAAATTATTTTGTGATCTCCTACTTGCTTTTTTTATTGTCAAAACTTATTCTGTCATTCTTTGTTTTTCGTAACTTTTACATTAACTGCCTTTTCAGCATTGTTTCCAAATAACATGTATTATCGTGATTTGTATATGTTACAGTTTGGATTGTTGCTCAATGAAAATAATAATGTGAAACAAAAATGTCGGCGAAATTTCACCATAATGTGCTTTATGTAAAACTACTGTAGCCACCTATTTATTCATATGATGCATTTCCTTGATATTAATTACTGAATGAAGTTTTTGCTTCTCTCAGAGCTTTTGCACAAATTTGTACTGAAGTGCCATATTTTTCCAGTGGTAGGATTGTTTAACTTGCTAAGCTGTAGAGAGATTGATAGCTCTATCAATTATGTTAACTATTAAAACTGTAATTCTCAATCCCTTTATGCATTTTGTACAACTATTTCATATGTGCTACAAATATTACAAAAACTTCTGGGTCATACTTAACTGTGTTATTTAAACCGTCCTGTTTTAGCTTTAAGGATTGTAAATTTTCTAATTTTATGCGTTGTAAAACTAAAATCAATTTTTTTGTTTATCCGAAGACATGCTCAAGTTCTAGAGCAAACGAAACACTTATTAATTGTTTAAATGTTGAGCTTTTATCAACTTGGGCAAATGTTCCCTTAAGTATGATTACTTATTTATCGCAGGTTCAACGAAAATATAAGGATTTTTCCCCCTAGGGGAATTCTTGCTTTTCTTATTTTTCTCAAAGGGACACAGAAGGGACCCTTTTGTAAGCAGCTAAAGCGCTATTTGATGAGATTTGGAACTTATGTTGCTCTGCTTTTATATTTTGTAACAATATTCTAAAATTAAGTTCTAAGGCCAAGTTTGAAAAAGTAAATTGTTCAGTTTTTATTCTTGGATGTATATATCTGAAGTCTCATAGTTGTCTTTTCTTGCGGCTAATTCTTGCAATCTTTTGTAAGTGAATGCAAACTTCAGATAGTCTGCTGTTATATTTTTTGTCAACATCTACGAGTGTAATAATAAGACATCTACTTCAAGAAGTCAAATTTTCGCCTATAAAAGACCAAAATAATTTTGATCTCTTGATAGGTGGATCTCAAGTGAAATTTGAAGCAAGCCTTGTAAGGATATATTTTTTGTTAATGAAATTTTTTTATAAAGCCTCTAAAACTTGTTGAAATTTTATGAAATTTAAATGTTAGAAAACATATGCTCTTCATATTTTTGATGTGTAGAGAGCTTTTTGAATTTTACAATGGCACGCAGAGTGGGACCAACAAGTTTTCTTGAAACTTATAATCAGTTTTACTTGTATACTAATCACAACTGCTGCTTTTAGAATCAGTGACTACCTATTTCTCTATGAGAAAAAGAGAAAAAGAAAATCGGAACACCCTAAACCCTTGTAGCACTGAACCTTCCAAGAACATTCCCAGACCATTATTCAGGTTTCCTGAACGTTCAGCGCACATTCTTCAAACGATTTGTGCTACCAGGGAAGAAGTGTAATTACAACAAAAGATTTCAACAATGGTATTTTTTGCTCATTATGAGAACCCTGCATTTTTGACTTAAAGCCATAATGTTTCATTATTATTGTCCTTCAACAGTTACTTATTCTTTACTTCACAAGAAAGTATTCAAATATTTTATTTGCTTGGACATACGCAAACAGCACAAACAGCTTTGTATCAATGCGCCATTTCCATTTTTAAAAAAAGAATAAACAGCTTACTGAACACAATGTAGTGTCTCAATTTATTTCAGAGGCCCATTCTACACCAATTTCCGTAATGTTGGAGAAACAAGTCGGGGTATGAAGGACCGCTTTTCTGAGAGTACATTGAGAGAGTACATGCAGGTTTCTGATCCGTCTTTCGAAAGTCCCGCCAAAGAGATGAACGGCATTCATTTGTTGTTTCATGCTGGCAGCGCTGGCAGCCACTAGCCGTACTGACGAGGCTGGCAGCCCAAAGACTGGTAGTTACTTGTGATGGTCGAGGACAGATTGTTGTCTTTTGAACTTGAAAAACACAGCTGAGACGGCTGTTGAATGCTTATGACCCAATGATTGAATCTTTCAGTTGCGTAAGTAGTAGAAATTGACCCAATTTGTGGCCAGAAGCATTATGAAAGAGTTTCCATTTAGTGGTAAATGTTGTATTATGTAGGCCAGAATTAAGCCTAGCCAAGACATAAAACGAAAGTCAAATCATTCAAGAGACTCTCATCATCAACACATCCTGCATTTGGACTAATTTTGAGTTAAATTAATACCTCTTCGGGACTCTTCCGTGATAATCGACACATTTGCTGAACCTATTCATCTCGAGGTCTGATGTCTTTGGTTAAGTGATGAGAACCTCTTCACAGATCATTGTGGAATGTTTTGTACTTAACTTTGGAGCTTTTAATTTGAATGGGTGTGACCAAATTTTATTTTGAAAATTAGTTGATCTTGGTATGCATTGAGAGCTATGTCTTTAACATGAATTGCACATGGTTTGTGTAAATGGTGCAATGTTCATAGTATTGTCAAACCTTAAAATTATGTTTTGGGGGACTGTAATTTGTATGTAATACGGACAATTGATTGTTTTCAATTTTTAGGTTTCAAACCTTTACTTCTGAAAGACAACATCTTCAACATGCCGCTCTTTGGAAAATCTCAAAAAAGCCCTGCGGAAGTGGTGAAGGCACTCAAGGAGGCTGTTAGTGCTCTTGAACGAGGTGACAAAAAAGCAGAAAAGGCACAAGAGGATGTCAGCAAAAACTTAGTCCTCATGAAGAATATGCTGTATGGTACGTCAGATGCAGAACCCCAGACAGACATCATGGTAGCGCAGCTTGCTCAGGAGCTTTACAACTCAAATCTTCTACTACTTCTCATTCAAAATTTGAACCGCATCGACTTTGAAGTAAGTTGAAGAAAACCTGTAAGTGTACTCTTTGAATTTACTTTTGGCACCTATGCTTATATCATTTATTTTCAGGGTAAAAAGGATGTTGCACAAGTATTCAACAACATTCTTCGCCGCCAAATTGGCACCCGATCCCCCACTGTGGAGTATATTTGCACCAAACCAGATATACTCTTCACCTTAATGAGAGGGTATGTTATTTACCGTATTAGTATCAGTTCTAACCAGTCTACAGTTAAAAACTGTATTTAAAAAGCTGTTTTTCGGTTTGTTTTGATCTTCAGCTACGAGCAACAAGAAATAGCTCTGAACTGTGGAACAATGTTGCGTGAATGTGCACGTTATGAAGCCTTGGCCAAAATTATGCTGTATTCGGATGACTTCTTCAACTTTTTTAGATATGTTGAAGTTTCTACTTTTGATATTGCGTCAGATGCATTTTCCACATTTAAGGTAGTTCCCTACCTTTGTTACCTTCTGTCGTTTTAACAGCCTCTCCCAAATTATAATGTTATCTCTTATGTCTTTAGGAGCTTCTTACACGCCACAAGATGCTTTGTGCCGAGTTCCTGGAATTAAATTATGACAAAGTGTTCTCACACTACCAACGTCTCCTGAATTCTGAAAATTATGTGACTCGGCGTCAGTCCCTTAAGCTGCTTGGAGAGTTACTTCTTGACAGGCACAATTTCACTGTAAGACCTGTTGGACTGTAGTTAGAATTACTGCTGATTGATAACTCATCATATTTTTGCTCACACCTTATCTTTGCTTCTCTTAACAGGTGATGACTAGGTATATTTCAAATCCTGATAATTTGAAACTCATGATGAACATGTTAAAAGAAAAGTCTCGAAACATTCAGTTTGAAGCCTTCCATGTTTTTAAGGTCTGTATTTTAAGTGCTTTTTATACTTAATTGTTTGGGTAAAACTTCTTGACTTTTTTAAATATTTTTTTTTATCAATGCCTATTATTTCAGGTATTTGTAGCAAATCCCAACAAACCAAAACCTATTTTGGAAATTCTTCTCCGCAATCAAGATAAACTTGTGGAATTCCTCACACGCTTCCATACTGATCGCTCTGAGGATGAGCAATTTAATGATGAGAAGGCATACCTCATCAAGCAAATTAAAGAACTGAAACCTCTGCCAGATCATTAGTTGCAGGAGGTAAGCATTTTTAGGTGCAAAGTTACCAGGCTACTGGTATTACTGATGGATTGATGTCAGACAAAGAAATGTCATCTCTATCTTCAATTTCTTATGTTTTAGCACTGCCTGTATAGATCCCATTACTACTGCAGCACATTCTTATGGAAAATTTCATCACCAGCATTTTGCACACTGAGTGAAGAGAGACTCTTACAACAGGTATAAATATGAATGTATATCGGTTTTAATGATTTAATCTATGGCAGCTAACTGATTTGAACGGAGCTTACTTTTACTATCTAGAAATTAATTATGAAAATTTTAAGGCGAATTTCAGGGTGTCTTTTCAAATGTAAGGGTATATAACTAGGAGTAACTGAAAGTGTGTGTATTTAAGATTCACCACCTTTGTAGAGGTGCTTTTGTCTTTGGTATCTCTGGTTATCCCGTTGTTCAACAGGGTTACAAAAAAAATTGGCATCCATTCCTGGCGGGCTATAATACTTTCAAGCTAATAAATTTTTTAATCTAAATGATTCAGGTTTTCTAATCTTACTCGGCACACATGTGTCTTGTAGGCAATTTTAATTCTGCCTCGTAATTTGTCTATTTTCTTGCTCCCACAACTTTCTTAGTTAATCTGACAATAATCTAATGAAGTTATCTTGTAAATTTGATGTTTTAATTTTACCCTGTAATGCAAATCAACTGATGTTGTTACATCTAGAACACTTTCTCTCTCTTTCTCTCTGTGCATTTTGTTCTATTTTATTGTTTGCATCCTAGTTAGGTTTACGTAGATCAGAAGAGTAACAGAATTATTGTTGGTAATCAATGCCTGGCGCTGGCGCTATTATTCTATCGATTTTTCTGTATTTCGACATGCATCAAAGGGTTTGGGCAGATTACTGACTTTTCAATAGTTTGTAATTTAAGTATTTGGAAAGTGAGAGGGATAAAAATTCAATAGAACATGTGTATCTAATTACAATGAATGATTGGCTGCTAGACCCTATCTAGGCCTGCTATCTATCTTAAAAGAAGCAAATAAATCAACGTGTTAATAGCAATAGGTACCAAAACATTTTCTCTCATATAAGGTTGATTTACCCAATATTAGAATTATTCTATGCTATCTTGTTAAGTTGCACTGTGGTCGAATGTGTTCCTAATCAGGCATATTTTGTCTATCAGCAAGAGAAGTTGTGTAGCTTATTTCTTGGCTAAAATTGAAGATGAGACAATTTCATTTGTATGATGGAATTACTGGACATGATACCATGGGATTTTATTTTTGAGGGCTTAGATCAAACCAATGACTAAATCTTATATATTCTGATAGATAATGTTCTTTGGATAAAACTAGTGAAAAGAAAGCTATTTTCCTAGATGTTACTGTTTTAGAATAAGAGAGCTGCAGACTACACGCTCTTGGTGCCTGCCAGTGGTGGTTTGTGGCCCAGACTTTGCTTTCAAATTTATTATTCCCTTGTCCAAATTCCTCTAAATCAGAATTTTTCCAATCTATGGTTTTTGAGTGTGCAAGGAAAGTATTATCATAATTTCATGAAAGTATAGTCAAATAATGTAATTCTCTTCTAGTTTTCATGTGTGTGTAACTTATGTCCTTCTGAGGCTAGAATGGCATATGAAACATGTGTATCTTCTGTTATGTGGGAAGTATATCAGGGTTGCTACAAGTATAGATGCTGTAGTTGTAGCAACTCTGTATATTTGATCTAGTGGACAATTTAGAGAAGCCTTAAGACAATTCAGTAATCACAAAGTAACATCTGGCTCCTTTGTATTATTTTTGGCCTCTGAAAATTTCTGATTGTGGGCACAGAAAAGACCATGTTACAAAGTAATCTTGATGCAGCATCAACAATTAGACTGGAATGAATGTTTTGTGATAACCTACCTTGAATGCATTCATTGTTACAGCAGTTTACAATCAAGTTCTCTTGAATTCAAGCTTAGCTTTCTAGTTGAAATGGCTGTTTTGAATCTGTATTGTGTACTGCATACAGGACCATCCTTCCTGAAGATCTAACAGCCTCAGTTGTTCAGTATTGAAACCTCAATTTTCAATTTCAATTTATTACCTTACATACTCCAGTTAATTTAAATTCTGCAGTCTAGAGTGTGGGGTAAAATATTTCTGCTTGTGAGTTGTCAACCTTCATGTTTGACTGTTCTATATTTCATTCTTGGGTGGAAACATTTATCAACTTCAGTGTTTGAGTTCAAGTGATTGATTGAAACCAGGAATAAGTCTTTGTCAAATAGGCTCAAGTGTGAGATTTAGCACTGTATGTGGAGCTAGACTGCATTGCTTGTTTTAAAATGTAAATACTGTTATCATTTTTTTTATTTTAACTGTAATGTATTGTATAAATGAATTAATTTTGAAAATGTGTGAACTTTATTTATCCTTGTAACACATTTCAAAAACATATTTCCATTCCAAAACTTTCCAAACTAAATAAGAGTGTAATGAAAAAAAATTAATCAAATACTGCATGTATATACTTTTACATACGTAGCTTATAACAGATCAATACAGCTAATATTAATAATTATCTTGAGATCTTTGCAGACATCTGGCTTTGGAAAAAAGTCCCATCACCTTTTGTTGCTTGCTTGTTAATTTCTCTGTGGCGGTCTCTTGAAACAATTTCTTCAAGAACCTCTCCATCTCCCTTAATTAGTCTGTAAATAAATGAATGATTCCAATTATTCAAACAAGTGGGACATTGTAATCAAAGTAAAATCGAAAAGCCTACCTATGTCGTCCAGTCTCCTCATCATATACTTTGCGTATCACTTGCTGCCGCTTATCCCATTCATCTTTGGTCATAGGCTTCATTGCTTTGGCCCTGTCAGACAGTTCTGGGATTGGGGGCCCTGGAGCAGGTCCTGGCGGAAGTGATAGTGTGATAGTTCCTGATCCTGTTGCAGGATCTGGCAAAGATGTAGAAACCAAAGAAGAAGACGACCCAGCTGTAGTCTCCTTCTTCCTTGCATGTTTTTTCGCCTTTTTTGCTGCTTTTTTAATCTTTTTCTTTTCTTTTTTAAGTTTCTTTTTCATGCGTTTCTTCTCCTTTTTCAGCTTTTTCTTTTCTTTTCTTTTCCTATTGCTATCAGAGTCTGATGATGAAGAGCTACTACTGCTGTCTCTTCTCTTTCTACTTTTGCTCTCTTTCCTCAAAGCACTTTTATCATTTGACTTATTTTCTTCTGACTTTTGCTTACTACGACTCCTTTCCCAACTCTTTCTTCTCTTACGAGTTTCACTGCATGATGATGAAGATGAACTACTGGAGGAACTGGAATCGCTTGAGCTTGTTGAGTGAGATCTCTTTCTCGACATGCTGAGAAAAACTGACAGAAAATTTAATTGTAGATTAAACCTTTAAAGAGTTGCCACAATCAAAGTGAGTAGCTGAAAACATTAAAGAACTAATCAGAAATGCTTACTGTTTCCCAATGTTCAGGAAAAAGTAGCTGTCAACGTCACAATCTAATGCTTTTAAGGGTAGAAAATAGAAGTGACAAATCCATCCACATCTTGTCAATCACTGTAAACATAAATTAAGGTTAGGTCCTCTAATTTATCCGCAATAGTTTTTGCCTAGAGCAACAGTCTATGGTTCAGTACGTCAAAAAATTTACCATCATGTAGACATTCAACCTCCCGGTCCAAAACCTTTCACTGAGGTAAGAGTTTACAGAACCAATCTCATGCAGAGAAGAATTCAGTAAGGCAAGGGGAGAGGAGCGAGTGGTGGTGATGGTGAGAACGGAAGGGGTAAGGGTGGACTTCGCGAATATGCCGGCAGAGAGCAGCACCCTCGACCACCTCACCCACTCCGTACACTTTGGTGCGGTTCTACTCGTCCTCTTCGCCCTTGACTCCGCTTTCTATCCTCCTTCAAATCTCTTCAAGTTTTGAGAACAACCCAGGTGAGTCCTGCCCCCGCTGTCCAAAGGCTTTCAGGGTTGACCTGCTGATGTTTTAATTTTTTCATTGTTCCCTTAATAAGTGAGTTTGTCTGTCAAATATTAGTAGAAAATCGAGGAAATGGTGGTGCAATTCCCTGATACCACGTCTTAAGAGGATGTGCGATGTCCAATATTAAAGTTGCACTGTATTTAAATTTGACGGAAATCAAAACGGTGAACGCGCCAATAGAATTCCCCTGTAGTAATCACTTCATTCGATCTTAGCCATCTATGTCAGTAACGCTGCGCTCGCTTAACATCTAGCATCTATATGTTTCAAACAGTGAATCATATTTGTAGAATATTGGTTCAAGAAGTCTGTCCCATTCTCTGAATTCGATTTCTATTTCTCGATAGAAGTTTTTATAAGGTGTGGGGGTTTGGCGAAACGTTGCCAGTGTCCCATTGCTTAATTAAGCGCGTCAAATGTTGTTTTAAGGTTATGGGTGTCGGCGATCGATGTAGTCTAGGTCCAATCGCGCTGATAAATGGTTTGATTATTCCGAAATCGGGCTATGGGACAGGTTTGCAAATTGTCAGAGCGCGATACATTGGCGTTTATGAGGAGTTTTTTTATCGTAGAGGACGTGACATTTGTGACAGGGATGGGCGGGGTAGGGG